TCGTGACCTAGATCCTCCGGATATGGCCCAAGCTCCGTCAGAAACCTCTCCGGGTCCATCAGGCGCCTGGGACGGAACCATCTAGGCGGTTCCGTCTCCCTGCGGCGGGGGGAAGCGGTCCGGAAGTCCATCCTAAGGAGTGCGTGATCTGACCATGACAAGGGCTCTATATTTATCTCCCCCATTTCCAGATCATTCTTTATATATGTGTGTGTATATATATGTATACACACACACACATACACACAGGTTCAAATCTCAGAAGGATATGGCTAGCTGATGACAGCTAAATAGCTCGAAATAGCTATACTAGTCTCCCTTTAACTCTTTGTCAGCAAAATCTAAATTTAACACAGAAATAATTTGTCGCAATAGCGTCTGCCTGGGTTCGAATCTCAGAAGGGTATGGCTAGTTGATGAGAGCTAAATAGCTCGAAATAGTTATACTAGTCTCCCTTTAACTCTTTGTCAGCAAAATCTAAAATTAACACAGAAATAATTTGTCGCAATAGCGTCTGCCTGGGTTCGAATCTCAGAAGGGTATGCTAGCTGATGAGAGCTAAATAGCTCGAAATAGTTATACTAGTCTCCCTTTAACTCTTTGTCAGCAAAATCTAAAATTAACACAGAAATAATTTGTCACAATAGCGTCTGCCTGTAAAAGCTCCTAGATTGGGGCTGAAAGGCGAAAGCAATAGTAGATTGCTCCATCTCATATTTGGGTAGACCAGATGCTCTGTTAGACCAGTTTCACCGGGAAACACTTTATACATATAGTGTATTCTCCTGGTCCTCAGTAGCTTAATTTAGAGAAGGGTGGATGCTAAACAAATAGTATAAACATGGTCTTCCCTGCCATCATAAATTCATCCAAGTGAACAACCACCTCATTCATTCATTCATTCATTCATTCATTCATTCATTCATTCATTCATTCATTCATTCTGTTTGTTCATCTTTGTTGCTGCCTGAAATCTTTCATATTTATCTTTAGACTTCTATTAGCCTCAGGCTTGATGTCTTGTTTTGCCCTTTGTTACCCAGAAGTTGCCACCCTTATTAACAGGACTGTTAAAAAAAAACATCATCACAAAACACTCTAGAGAACAGCCATGCCGTTTTTCTTATTCCTCGCAGTTTTTTTTAACTATATGGGTGGTGGTGGCGGAGAAGAGCAATAACTGGGAAACGAATTCTGATTGCTGACAGAGAGTTCCCTTGAGCAATACCTTTGTAGCTCTTAGGTAAAAATGACCAAATAGACACACATTCCCAGACATTTGTTGGTTTAAAAACCAAAGCCATGCTCATTGCAAAGAGGCTGCAATAAGAAGGATTAGATTCCCAAGATGGTTTAACTTTTGCTTCCTATTTTTTAGATGCCAAGTTTGAAAAACACTGTTCTAAAAGTAATTACCCACCCTGTGGAGGAAAGTGTGCAACTTTATGTTATGTTCTAACGTTAAGCTCACTCTGAAAAGAACTAAAAAGACTCAGCCACTGGAGATGCAGCTGAGTAAACTGGCAACACAGACCGTATCCAGTTGTCCATAGAAGGTGGCCAGTTCACCCTGTTCCCTGCAAAATTTCAGCCTTTTATTTCCCAACCTTCTATTTGTGCTTGGTGATAAGCAGGCAGGTGGATGATGTGAGCATGAATACATTGTTTATGCCTTATTACTTTTATGCTTCTAAGTGGTCGAGTGCTTTAATATCTATGTGTTCTCTAAAATTTTCTGTAATTTCAGAAAGAGAAATGCACACGTTTATTACAATGATGATGGCCACACAATGATGCCAGCCTGATCTCTTTTAGGATTCATTCATTCATGCATGCATTCATTCTCAAGACCATCCATCTCACTCTCAGAGAATCTTTGGGTGGTGCTATTCTATCTATCTATCTATCTATCTATCTATCTATCTATCTATCTATCTATCTATCTACCTACCTACCTACCTACCTACCTATCCATCCATCCATCCATCCATCCATCCACCTACCTACCTACCTACCTACTATCTATCTATCTATCTATCTATCTATCTATCTATCTACCTACCTACTATCTATCTATCTATCTACCTACCTACCTACCTACCTATCCATCCATCCATCCATCCACCTACCTACCTACCTACCTACCTACCTACTATCTATCTATCTATCTATCTATCTACCTAATATCTATCTATCTATCTATCTATCTATCTATCTACCTACCTACCTACCCATCCATCCATCCACCTACCTACCTACCTACCTACCTACCTACTATCTACCTACCTACCTACCTATCTATCTATCTATCTATCTACCTACCTACCTGCCTGCCTGCCTACTATCTATCTATCTATCTATCTATCTATCTATCTACCTACCTACCTACCTACCTACCTATCCATCCATCCATCCATCCATTCATCCATCCATCCATCTACCTACCTACCTACCTGCCTACTATCTATCTATCTATCTATCTACCTACCTACCTACCTACCTACCTACCTATCTATCTATCTATCTATCTATCTATCTATCTATCTATCATCTATATACATATACATGACCTTGGAAGACTTGGAAGACTGGGTTAACATCAGGCAAAAAGATATATCAGCCCACAAAAATGGGCTAACACTACCCCATTCCTTTGGCTTTTAGGTGAACAGAATAACAGCTGGAAGAGACCTTGGAGGTTTTCTAGTCTCTCTCTCTCTCTCAGGCCAACTCACCTCACAGGGCTGTTGTTGTGAGGAAAATAGGAGGAAGGAGTATTAGGGCATGTTCGACACTTGAGTTATTTATAAATATAAAAAAGGGCTATAAACTTTTTTTTTAACAATTGTAATCTTCCTAAATATTCCTTTCTTCGCTTTTCAGCTGCTCTGAATCTCCCAATCGTTCCTTTTCGATCAGAATACAGCTGGAAGGGACCTTGGAGGTCTTCCAGTCCAGCCCCCTGCTCAAGCAGGAGACCCTGTACAATGTCAGACAAGGGACCGTCCAGTCTCTTCCTAAAAACCTCCAGTGCTGAAGCACCCACAAGGCGTTTTTCCTTGGCAATTCCTAAAAATCCTGTTTCATTTGTTCACTTAGCCTACTGCTAACCTGCAGAAACACTTCCCTCAAACTCTTATTCAAACCCATTTTTTGGTTATTGTTGTTCAGGCATAACTGATTAGCACAGTGTTTCTCAACCTTGGCAACTTTACGATGTGTGGACTTCAACTCCCAGAATTCTCCAGCTAGCGTTGCTAGCTGGAGAATTTTGGGAGTTGAAGTCCACACATCGTAAAGTTGCCAAGGTTGAGAAACACTGAATTCACATCACTTCGCAAAGGCCTCTGACATGGGCTCGACTGAAGTTTTTGTTGTTAGTTGCGAAGTCGTGTCCGACCCATCGCGACCCCATGGACAATGTCCCTCCAGGCCTTCCTGTCCTCTACCATCTTCTGGAGTCCATTGAAGCTCACACCTACTGCTTCAGGGACTCCATCCAGCCACCTCATTCTCTGTCGTCCCCTTCTTCTCTTGCCCTCCATCTTTCCCAGCATTAGGCTCTTCTCCAGTGAGTCCTTCCTTCTTATTAGGTGATGATCAAAGGCATCCATCTCCTGCAGGACTTGGGTTTGGCTTCTTTAGAAAAAAAGAAATAGGGGAGACAAGATAACAGTATTCCAGTATTTGAGGGGCTGCCACAAAGAAGAAGGTGTCAAATTATTTTCCAAAAGGTCAGAGGGCAGGACAAGAAACAATGGTTGGAAACTTACCAAAGAAAGAAATAACCTGGAATTAAGGAGAAACTTCCCGACAGTGAGGATAATTAACCAGTGGAACAGCTTGCCTCCAGAAATCGTGGGCGCTCCATCACTGGAGATTTTTAAGAAGAGGCTAGACAGTCACTTGTCTGAGATGATATAGATTCTCCTGCTTGAGCAGGGGGCTGGACTAGAAGACCTCCAAGGTCCCTTCCAGCTCTATTCTATTCTATTCCTGTTTTTTTTTTACTGGGGCATTTCCATCTATGGGGACAGAAGTTAATGATAGAATCGTTCTCTGCCAATCTCTCTCTCTCACGCACATAGACACACACATACACACACACACACACACACACTCGCTCTCTCTTTGCTGCTTGATGTCAGAGCCGAACAAAGTACGAGGGGTATATAAGAGCAGCATTGTCTGCCAGCCAGAAAGATAACGGCAAAGACTATTGGATTAGAAGAGTGGAATTCAACCTGTTCTTTTCTGCTGCTGCAGGGACCTTCGTTTAACCCTCCAGGTAAAATCTCAGGTTGAGAATATTTTGTCTTTCTTGCGGGCCCTTCAGAAAGATAATGCAAAGATAAACAGGAGGGGAAGGGGCTGGACCTGATGCACAAAGAAGCCTCTTTCCAAGCCAGATGAGAGCAGAGATGCCCTCCTGGTTTTTTTTAATTTTCTTTGAGAGTAAATTCATAAACTCGGATAGGAAAACTGAAAAGATTTAAAATCGGGGTTGAACTGGGCTCAGGTTAGCCACCTGACTGAATCCCCATCCTAGCTTCTAGCTAGCAAGGTTTGCCATTCAGCAGGAAAAGAATCCTAGAAAAATCGACATTGGGGGTGCGTGTGCTCATGTTTGTGTAATTTGTTAACTTGGCTTTTTAAATTCTTCTTCCTCCCGCCTTTCCTTCGAAAGCAGCCAAAAGAGAAATGTGCAGTCTTAAGGGACCTTTTATTTTCGTCATCTTGTCTCTTACTTTAAACTCCCTGGAAGCAACACCGGTCAAGAGGTCAGTAACTTTACAGCTGAATCCTTTCCTGTTCTTCCTCTTCCTCCTCCCTCTTCCTCTTTCACTAAGAAACCACACTTCTGTGTAGTGTTGCACAAATCGCTGTTTATCACTGTGATGCCAAAGGTAGTTAGTTTGGGGATAAAGATGTGGATAAAGAAGGAGAGGCTTGGGAAGGAGAGAGCCAAACTAGAAATAAGGAGAAATTTCCTGACAGCGAGAACAAGGAAACAGTGGAATGGCTTGCCTCCAGAGGTTGGGGGTGCTCCTCCATCAATGGAGGTTTTCAAGAAGACACTGGACAGCCATTTATCCAGAATGGTACAGGATCCCCTGCTTGGAGAAGACCTCCAAGGTCCCTTCCAACGTTGCTATTCTATTCTATTCTATTCTATTCTATTCTATTCTATTCTATTCTATTGTTTTTTCTTATCCTATCCTATCCTATCCTATCCTGTCCTGTCCTGTCCTGTCCTGTCCTGTCCTGTCCTGTCCTATCCTATCCTATCCTATCCTATCCTATCCTATCCTATCCTATTCTATCCTGTCCTATCCTATCCTATCCTATCCATTTCTTATTCTATTCTATTCTATTCTATTCTATTCTATTCTATTCTATTCTATTCTGAAAGGGAAATTTGCTGCTTATTCTCATGTAAAGACTACTTTCTTTGGCTTTATCTTATGGCACATCCAACAGACAGTTGTATCCCTGGTGGGGAGATGCAACTCATGAGAACGTATGTCTTTTAATAACATTTATTAGACAGAATGGGTGCCCCCAAACTCATGGAGTTTTATTACAGACTGACACAGTTGTCCCTTAATATCTCTAATGGATAGGTGTCCTACTTTCTGAGCTATAGATACACAGCTAACAAAACCCTCCCCTTTTTCTAAGATGTTAACCTTTTTCTATGTATTATTAGGTGTGTGTGTTTTTAAAGTAAACTTTAAAGCAAAATTTTAGGATCAAATGGATGCTCCTAAAATTGAATTACCTTTTAAGTTGGTTCTAGTTTAAATATATCCTTGATGGGGATGGACGGTCTAGAAACATGAAAAATAAATAAATAAATAGATAAATAAATAATTAAATATCTTAAAGATTATTCTGTACTACAAGGAAGGGCAATGTATATTTTTTGAACTTCTATTGGCCACAATATTATTTCCTTTACATATGGAATGCTTACCAGTATTTCTGCCTTCACTGCTGTCTGCTCTATAAAAAAGCTGTTGGGTTTCGTAAGAAGACTTTAATGTTTAAACCCATAAAAACTTGGGCACACAACATCTCATTTCTCCTTTATATTCATCAGATTTAGAATTTAACTGTTCCACAGCCATTTTAAACAAATAAAAAAGGAGAAATTGTTAGAGATAGAAACAAAATTAAAAAGGGGGGGGGGAATTGTTAAGAGATGGTATCGTGTTTGTGGACAGGTAAAATATCAGAAAAGTCATCAATTATGGAGTTCAGATTTTTGACACAGTGCATTTGATTATTAGAAGGTTTATTTTGAGGAGAAAGGCTCCATTATCTAGAGAAGATTAAAACAAAGCATTCGTTCCCCTTATAGTAAAACACTCTCCACCCAGAGTTCTTAATCTCAGTAAAACTGCTGAAAAGCTTGGAAATTTCCAAATAACCCAAAACTTATTCTCATGTGAGAATTCTATCTTTCAAGAAAAGTCAAAATATTCACATTTTGTTAATCACATATAGTTCAGTTTAAAAAGATGTGGAATGATCAATAGATACATAATAAGAGATAACCTTTGAAGAAGATTGATCTCTACCAATTTTGGTTATTTTAGCTAAATTTAGTTAATCATAATGGATAAAAAAATAATTCTGACTGTATCAGAAGATGGTAGCATAAAATAAATGTTTAAGTTAACATAAATGCAGATGTTTCATAGTGAACCCCTTTGGATTTTAGAAAAATATCTCAAGACTGAAAAAATCTTTTTTCTGAATCATGGGGAAAAAAACATTATCAGCAAGTACAACCCAAGGCAGGGAATTTGTACTTACCTATTGTAGATCCCACAAATTCTAGATGAATGTGATGAGAGTTTAATTTGATCTGATAAGTCCCTGATTTCCCACCCTGACTTAAATATTGCATAGATCGATGAATTCCATAATAGATTCCTAAGTGTTCAAAACTGCGTGTGGACTTAAACTGTATAACTCAGCCATTTATTCAAAGTACTGTATATGCAAAACCTCTTCTTGCTTTATTAGCTTTTTGTATTATTTATTTGATTTATGCTCTATCTTTGTTTCTTAAGATATTCAAGGTAGGGTGGCTTCAAATATATTTAAACAGAAGGAAAATAATTTCTGCTGATTTAAAATAAGGATACACGTTGTCATCTCTGTGCTCTGTATGTGATGATGTCATAGCGTACATCAACATTTCGGCATCAATTTACTTTGTTACATCTGGAGAATGGAAACTGTCAGTTTCCAGTTCACAGATCTTCCCTCCTGCTCAGCAGTTCAATGAAATTAATGCATTTTGGAAATGTGCTATTATCTTTGCAGTGAACATGACTGGAAAGTTCTTTAAATTGGGTGCCTTGTAAAGAGATGAACTCCAATTCCCAGAATTCTCAGCTACGGCTATATTGTCAGGAGAATTGTGGGAGATAAAATCCATCCATGTAAGGCACCCAGGTTAGGGGTGGCTGCTGTACTGTTTTAAACTTTTCAAATGGAAGAATTATTTCTTTCACTTGAAGAGTATCTATGGGAGTTAAGTTGAGAGCTAGAATTCTCAGGACAAAATTGCCAGTTTTGTCAACAACCAAGAATTGTCCAGCTTTAGGACCTGGAAGGACAAAACCAAAGTTTTCTTAATTGGGGAAGAGATGGGAGAGAAAAATGATGGAATTAAACTGTAGTGGGTATAAAGGGGACACTAAGTCTTCATGATGTCAGAAGGCAATCTTACCACCTTTTACAGTCCTACATCGCCCAATTTTTTTCCTCTGTTTCTAGTGAGGCCCAAACATCTCCCCCTGCTAATTTTCTAGCTTTTTAATTTTAAAATGTTTTGCTTCAGATAAATGATTGAGAGACAGCACAGCGTTCTGGTTGTATTTACAAAACAGGTTTAATCTGGAAGTTGAATTAATCTGTTTCCTTGGTTTGGGTAACCCCTTGAATCCTGAAAATGGGCTGGTGCCATTTGCACATGGATGCAGATGCAAAATAGATGCACCTGATAGGTTTGTGTCTGTAATTCTCTCCCTCTCTCCCTCCCCCCCTCTCTCTTCCCCCCCCCTCTCTCTCTCTCTCACACACACACACATACACAATTAGCCAGTTTGATCTAGTGGTTAAGGCACCAGGCTAGAAACCAGGAAACTGTGAGTTCTACTCTTCCCTTAGGCATGAAAGCTGACTGAGTGAGTTTGGGCTAGTCCAGTGATGGCGAACCTTTTAGAGACTGAGTGCCCAAACTGCAACCCAAAACCCACTTATGCATCGTCGAGTGCCGGGTGGGTGTGGCCCATTGGCTGGGTGTGGCCAACTGGGTGGGCGTGGCTGCAGTGGTAACGGCAGACTGGGTGGGGCTAAAAAGTTCAATCAATCAATTCCAACTTTGCAAGATCTTTTTTTTTCTGCGAGAAATTGAAATTGACTGATTGAACCTTTTTTTTTTTTTTTTGCACATGGCGGCGGAGGCCTAAAGCGAAAAGGTTTTATACAACCCAGCTGAAGGCCTAGGACTGGGGCGACGGCGCGTGTGCCCACAGAGAGGGCTCTGAGTGCCGCCTCTGGCACCCGTGCCATAGGTTCGCCACCACTGGGCTAGTCACTCTCTTTCAGCCCAACCCAACTCACAGGATTGTGGGTTGTGGGGAAAGTAAGAGGAGGAAGGAGTATTAGGCATGTTTATAAAACAATACCCTAATTTTAAAAAAAGACACGGATAAACTGGAGCGAGTCCAAAGAAGGTTTACTGAGATGGTGAAAGGACTGGAAACCAAGTCCTACAAGGAACAGTTATAAGTTCTAGAGATGTTCAGCTTGCAGAAAAGAAGGTTGAAAGGGGACATAATAGCTGCTGTCAGCTATCACACTGTAAAGAAAGACTTCACATTCATTCTCACTTGCTTCACTGGGTATGTCCAGAACTAATGGGATGAAACTTCAAGGATGAAGACACAGATTAGATATTGGGACAGTAGGAGCTACCAATTACTGCACGAAAAGTGGTTCTTCCCTTTCAAATAGAGGCAGAATCAGGGTTTCAATTAATCCCGCAGCATCCAATGCATTGGGCTTGATGATATCCCAAGTTCCATCCAACTTTGATTCTGTAATTCTATGATGAAAATTTTTCCCAAATCAAAGATAGCATGTTGTCATTATTAGTTGCTCCAGAACAACAGAGAGACATATGTCCTTAATTGTCTTACCTGAGAGCTTTTGATATTCTTAGGAATTATGAGTCCCATAGGGACAACTGTAATATATTTTACATCATGCCTCCAGCCAGTTTCATGCACACAAAATAATGCATTCATTGTGAATTTCTGACATGCAGAAGTACATTTATATCACCTTGATGCCAACTAGAATTCAACAATATGTACCATTAATGTAATTACGTCACAAATTACTCAAGTGACACAACTTATGAAATCATTCTGTCACCCAGCTCTGGAGTATGCTTTCTATTAATAGACCAATAGCTTGTGTGAACCTTGTGTGATACTCAGGACAAGTCCTTCAACATTGTGACCCAGGACAGCTTTGATTTATTGATAGTTTCTATGGAGATTCTCAAGCATCCAGATTATGGTTGTCCCAAAAGTGCTTTTCCAAAAGGCAACTGGACTTTCTTGTTTATGTTTTTTAATTGAAAGTTGTGGTTCGACTGTCAAATCTCATGCTTGTTTATTGGGACAACTCTCAACAACTGTGGGTGGGCAAGGAAGAGTTTGAACGGACTCTGAGAAATCTAGTAGATAGATTTTCTACCAACGCCAGAAAAATAGACAAAGCGAGTGCCTGCCATTCTCATACTTCTCATGCTATTAGCAAGTTTTCTAAATAGCCTTTAAAAGCTTATCTGAAGCTAAACATTGAGTCACTGTTGCCACTTAGTGACTTAATGATAGTATAATTTCCCCTTTTGGGTTATATCCTGAAGGTGCAACTTTGAAAAATCACATCTAAGCTCTTTTGTACGTTCACCTGCTTGCATGATTAACACAGATCTGTTTATAGCAACCTTCCCCACACGTGTGGGTCTCTGTGCTGGTTGGGTCTATAACACCCACTGACATTTAGTCAGTGTGACGTTTGTTCCAACCAGGAATTCAAAACGGTACACTCCTAACACAACCGGAATAGACCAGTTTGAGAAGAGTGTTCATGCAATGTCTTCTTGGGTCTTCTGCTCTAACTGATGAACCTTGCAAATACAAGAACCATGTTTACTTTCAATTAGCTATTTAAAAATGTCTGCTCTGAAATCCTTCCTAAATCTTGTATAGGTCTCTCTGATGAAATTCTATATGTTCTAACGAAAAGTCCATGCAAGAGATGACCAGGTTGAGCCGAGGGAGGGGTCAAACATGTCATCAGTCTGGAATCCCTTTGTGTCCACAAGAGATCTAAGATCTAAGCCCACCTTGAATTCCATTGGCTCTTATTTGCCGTCAATTTACCTTGACTATTAGTAGTTCAGATTCTTGTAATGAGCTAGCCTGGATTAAACTTGTACAGGTAGTCTTCGAGTTACGACCACAACTGAGCCCAAAATTTATGTTATTAAGTAAAACATTTGTTAAGCGAATTTTGTCCTGTTTTATGACTTTTCTCGCCACAGTTGTTAAGCAAATCATTACATATGTTAAGTTAGTAACATGGTTGTTAAGTGAATGTTGCTTCCCCATTGACTTTGCTTGTCTGAAGGTGGCAAATTTGACCCCGTGACCGCATGACACCGCAACCATCATAAATATGAACCAGTTGCTAAGCATCCAAATTATGAGCATGTGCCCCTGGGGATGCTGCAACGACCGTAAGTGTGAAAAACAGTCATAATTTCCTTTTTTCAGTGCCGTTGTAACTTTGAACGGTCACTAAAGGAATTGTTGTAAGTCAAGGACTACCTGTAGTCATTTGAACAACCCTGGTTCCTGATTTCTTGTGCCTGACAGTCCATTTTTCTCTTGTCTCAGCTTATTGACTGGGCTGGCCCCATCCTGTGATATCCTAAATCTGAGTGAGCAAAGCACAACTGTTTTGCTATATAGCACCTTTTGCCCCAATTAACTGACCCATGTACAAGGACAGCCTCATTTCAGTCTAGATTGATGTGTGAATCTGGTTCCTGAACGTGGGTATCTGTAAGAAGGGGGTGGGGGAATAAAATGTGACTTGGTCCTTCATGAGGACAATTCCAACCCTTACACCTTCTGTGTAACATTGTGATGTCAATAAAAAAGGGAGGGTCTCGCTGGGCTGTGGATTAATCGTGGGACTATTGTGGTTGGGAAGAGGTGCCTATGCTTCAGAACATCCAATTGCATTATTTTTAATATCCTCCTGCACATTTTATGCCGGCCCCCCAATCTCTCTTGTTCTTTCTGAATCAGGACTGATTTTCATTCTAGACTATAAATAATGGCTGAATTCAATCAGCATTCAGAAGGGGCAACCTCCTCCAGATATATATAACTCCTTTTGGCAGATGTCGTTTCCTCAAAAATCACTGTTAGCTTAGCAATGTAAAGTCTAGATTTGAGTTATACCTGTTTTATGTGCGTCCCCTGGTACTATTTCTTTTCACTGTTCACATGAACAGGTGTTTTTTTTTTTTTTTTAACCAAATGGGCTGTGCTATACTCCATGAGTTTGAACTACGAATTAGGCAGCCTCATAAACTAGCTACAAACTCATTACATTCAATCTTCATAAACAATCCATATCCTGTTATTAATTTTTACCCAGTTTTTAGTTTCTCATCAATATTCCAATTTGACCTTTGATATTTATCATTTTCAGGCTTTGGGTAACCAAGATTTCCCTTGTCTCAATTCATAACAAAATCTAATATCCAAAATACACATTTTATCTATTTAAATGCAATCTTGTTCTATTTCCTAAGAGTTATCTATTTCCCACCATATTAAATCATCTACTTAATAATACAATATCCCCTTTAATAAATCAAAACCATTGTGTATATTACCTGGGTTAATCAATAAATCAAACATATTCATAATAATTAATTTTCTTTTTCCTTTTAGGTCTAATTTTTAAATGTTAAACAGATAAAGTCCTTATTTTCAACTAATTTCCACGTATTTTAAATCTAATGACCAGAATTCCCCTTATCTCAACTTCCAATCTTTTGACTCCCCTCATTCTGCGAGGGTGAAAGGGGAAAGGTTGGGGATCGATCAGCAAATCAATTACTGCAATCTATAGTTTTGTGTTTTGTGAGCCTTACGCTAATTGAGGATCCTGAAAATTGAAACCCCAACACTTTCAGCACTCCCCAGGTTAAAGACGAATGTTTTTAGATGCTGAATAAAAACTCTGATCACCTTAATAAAATCTGCAAAGGAAATCCTTTTTTCCCCCTCACACACTGAGAAGGATATATCAAGAAATGTATAAAAGGCTGTTTTCTGTGTTAATTATGACTATTAAATGCTCATCTTTCACCAGTGGTCCGCTATCAATTCGATAAATTGCTTCATTTCATTCAGGCAATGTCTACCCGAGATGAAACTTACTTCCGATTTAAAGAATTTTCACAGGTCTCCATTTTGTAAACAAAACTTTTTTTTATCACCCACCAACATGAATAAGATTGGCCTGGTCTGGAACAAGGTAGGCAGCCTTCATTTAGCTTCAATACAGCAGTGATATTGGTTTCACAAATTGAGTTTCATCATTTGCTCACCTCTTCCCCTACACAAAGAAAATCAACAGGGTGTTCCAGGAGCTTCTATCATCTTGATGGGATCCCGTCCAACTCCGGAGGCTTTTTCTCACCTTTTACTATTGTGCTGCCTCTACAGCTATCAGATCCTTTTGAAGATTGTTCCCATGGATAATTTTCAAGAGATGATTGGTCCATCAAGTACCTTAACAGAAAAATAAGGCAATCTTATACTTTGGTGCCGTGGAGAACTCGCTAATTCAGTCCTGTCTATTGGATTTCAGGCCAATTTATACATGAAGAAAAAAAATCATACTAGATTTTTCACAATATAGACGTATTTGCTTTATTGAAAACATGCTACACATTTGTGAAGTTTTCTTATCAGTCATATCTAGAAGGAAGGTTTGGATTTCTGTACCTGCAAAACGCAGAAACTCAACTTCATAGTAGGCTGCTCGGTTTCTATTGATTAAGAAGACCATAGTAATTATCTCTTTAGAAGGTGTTGTTGTTGTTGTTAATTGCAAAGTCATGTCCGACCCATCGCGACCCCATGGACAACGTTCCTCCAGGCCCTCCTGTCCTCTACCATCTTCTGGAGTCCATTTAAGCTCACACCTCTGCTTCAGTGACTCCATCCAGCCACCTCATTCTCTGTCGTCCCCTTCTTCTCTTGCCCTCCATCTTTCCCAGCATTAGGCTCTTCTCCAGTGAGTCCTTCCTTCTCATTAGGTGGCCAAAGTCCTTGAGTTTCAACTTCAGGATCTGGTCTTCTAAAGAGCAGTCAGGGTTGATCTCCTCTAGGACTGACCGGTTTGATCGCCTTGCAGTCCAAGGGACTCGCAGGAGTCTTCTCCAGCACCATAGTTCAAAGGCCTCAATTCTTTGGCACTCAGCCTTTCTTATGGTCCAACTTTCACAGCCATACATTGCAAATGGGAAAACCATGGTCTTGACTATACGTACTTTTGTTGGCAGGGTGATGTCTCTGCGTTTTAGTATGCTGTCTAATCTTTAGAAGTAGAGAACCTTTATTGTCAATTTTTTTCTGTAGGCACAATGGCACATATTAAAAATGAAATTTAGTTATTTTCTCTCCAAGTGTACACATACATAACACACATTTAAAACATACTATATACAACATATACTATATACAACACATAAATTTAGAAAAGTAAACCTAGAACAAAGAGGTAGTCTCTGTAGCTAACTAGATATGCCCATTTCAAGCATTCCATTCCATTCTGATCTACTGTCCACCCCTTCCCCCCCCAAAAAACCCTCTTCAAATTCTGCAAGCATCCAGTGGCCATTAAATTCAGTGTTAGGGTGACCTCAGAGCTGGAGCACATTAGACCTACGGGCCAGATCCAGCCAAAATCACCCATTTTTTCAAAGTCCCAATTCTCCAACAGTTGTCTTCCCAGTTTTAGGAATGGAACAGGTACAAAAACAGGCTGTAACAATAACGGAGAATAGTTGTAATCAGGATTGAAATGAGGGGTCCTTGGTGCTCTATGAGTTTGGGTTTTTTTCTTACAGATGTTTCATTACCCAAACTAGGTAACATCATCAGTGCACTGATGATGTTACCTAGTTTGGGTAATGAAACATCTGTAAGAAAAAAACCCAAACTCATAGAGCACCAAGGACCTCTCACAGTTGTAACAGTCACTAAATGAGTCACGGGTAGCAGAGTGGTTGGAATGCAGTTATTGCAAGCTAATTCTGCCCACTGCCAGCAGTTCGATCCTGACTGGTTCAAGGTTGACTCAGCTTTCCATCCTTCCGAGGTCGGTAAAATGAGGACCCAGATTGTTGGGGGCGATATCCTGACTCTGTGAACCGCTTAGAGAGGGCTGTAAAGCATTGAGAAGGGATATATAAGTCTATGGCTATTGCTGTTACTAAATGCCTTCAAGGAGCATTAGAAGGGCTGTAGGTGACATGGAGTTTACTCTCTAGTTACCTGTAAAAATGCCCCCCCTCAAATATTTATAAGAATAAATATAAAGCATTTATTCAAAGCATACACTAACCTGTCGTACATTGTAAAAATGGCTATGGGAGATGATCATCTTGATGTATCTCTCTATTTGCTTTTATTTATTATTTGTCGGCTTGTTTGTTAAATTTATTTGCTTTTAACGACCAACAGCCACCATCTGGAGAAACGGAAGTGCAACACCGCCACTTGTGTGACACAACGCTTGGCAGACTTCCTAGTCCGGTCCAGCAACACCATCGGAACCATTTATTCGCCTACCAATGTAGGGGCCAACACTTACGGGAAGAGAGGCAGAGAAGTTCCCAACTATCTACAGCTTTAAGAATGCAAGATGGCCACGGTGGCGGCTCTCGCTAGAAATTGCTCTTCCTGTCTCTGGTTTTCATGTTATAAAGTCCTGGTCCTCTCCGTTTTCCATTCATTTTGTTTCAGCAAGGCTGACATTTCAGCCAGGGGCTTGAAAATTGGGTTGTCTGGGTCACTGCTTTGATCACTGGCTGCCTGCTTATATCTCACAGTGCCTTGTTTTCCCTGTGTGTATTTGATGGATGTGATTTCCATGAATTTATCACACTGCTTTGCTGGAAAATGATCTGCCAACGGGGTCCCTGTGGGTGATGCTCTGCCTGTTGTCGACATACTTGCGAAATCCCTCTGTTAAAAAAAAATAATAATAATAAGGGGGAGGGGGAAAGATTAATAAATCTCATAAAATCCGTGCCACATGAAATCTGATCATGTGAATGGGCTGCAAGTATGTTCTTTTTTCTTTTTCTTTCTTTTTAATTAAAATGTTTAAAAAGACAAAGTGTGAGAGATGTATGTCTTCGGAATATTATCTGATGGGGAGGGGGAGGGGTCAACCTGACTCACCTCAGCTAGTAAATAAATAATGATACATTTATTGATAGATCTACATCTTGCGTTTCAACCAGGTGATGTACACGATATACCGGGGTACTGTGGGGTCCTTGGTGCTCTCCGAGCTTGGTTATTTTCTTGCAGACGTTTCTTTACCAAACTAGGTAACATCATCAGTGCTAGAAGGGAGTGGGATTTGGTCTCTGTTTATATATAAGTGGTTGGTGGGAGTGTCCTTGGTGGTTCCCTGATTAGGTTGTTGTTTACTGCTACCTTATTTGTCTTCAGACAACACTGATAGGGCAAATAGCACATAAACAGAGAGCAAACCCCACTCTCACTAGCCCTGATGGTGTTGCCCAGTCTGGTAATGAAATGTCTGCAAGAAAACAAGCAAGCTCAGAGCACACCAAGGACCCCCACAGTTCATCCCTCAGCTACAAATATTCTCTTCTGCTGGTAAAATATAGTACTCATTTTTCCATGTTTCCTCATAATAACAAACTTTATGTAGTAGATTGGGTCACCCAATGAGCTGGGTGGACTTGAGGACCTGAACATGGGCCCCCATTCCTAGTCTAACATGATACCACTACATCACACTGGCTTACTGGCCAAGAGTCCTGCATGGCTGAGAAAGGACTAGAATCTAGGTCAGGGGTAGGCAACCTTGGCTCTTTTATGACTTGTGGACTTCAACTCCCAGAATTCCTGAGCCAGGATGGCTCAGCTTGGAAACCTCTCCCTTTCCCCTCAGCATGGCTGGCTCAGGAATTCTGGGAGTTGAAGTCCACAAGTCATAAAAGAGCCAAGGTTGCTGACCCCTGATCTAGATTTTCCCCATTCTAGTCCTGGACTTTCACCATTAAACATCCCCCCACCCGTAATGCCTCTGGGACTCCAGTGGACTAGAACCTGGGTTCTCCCTGATCCTGGTCCAAAATGTCAACCACTATTCCACATAGTAGGTAACTTGTTCTCCAGAGATAACCACAACAGTATTTCCTAACCCGAGCAATTTCTAGATGTGCAGATTTCAACTTTCAGAAAATTAAGACTCGAAGTCCACACATCTGAAATTTGATCAGGTTGGAAAACACTGGGCTTGGTAATCAAAATAGTAAGATCCATGTTTCTTTAAAAAAAAAAAGTCTTGGTTAACTAGATGTTGATGGGTTTTTTTTAAAAAAAAAACACCCTTTAAGGAGTAAAGGATGATCGTCAGCTCAATGGATCCAACATGATCAGCTTCAGCATAATGTTGATTGGCTGGGCTGGGAGAACAGTTAAGAAACACAGAGGAAGGAGCAAAAGGGAATATTGTGGACATGTTACATCACAACAGTGTTCCAATATCTAAGTGCCACAAAGAAGAGAGGGGTCAACTTATTCTCCAAAGCACCTGAAGGCAGGACAAGAAGCAACGGATGGAAACTCATCAAGGAGAGACCCAACCTAGAACCAAGGAGAAATTTCCAGTGAGAACAATTAATCAGTGGAATGGGATGCCACCAGAAGTTCTGGGTGCTCCATCACTGGATTTTTTCAAGAAGGGATTGGACAACCATTTGTCTGAAATTATATAGGCACTCCTGTTTGAGCAAAGGGTTGGACTAGAAGACCTCTAAGGTCTCTTCCAACTCTGTAATTCTGCTAAAAGAACACTGCACACAGCTAAGGACAAGGGGAGTTGTAGTCCAAGTTTCAAGAGGGCACTAGTTTGAAGAGAAGCTATATGAGATCCCTCCCGGCTGAATTGTGTGTTAAGGAAGAGATTAGCCTTAAGAATACATTGTGTTGAATGAACTCAATATTGTGGTGATCCCCATTTTTCATTTTAAATTAAATGCAACAACTGGAGAAACAACCCTCCTAATCAGCAATCAAGAACTCAGCAGGCTTCAATAAATGCTGATACTAATTTCCTTGAAGTCATCTAAGGTAATGGACGTGTCTTGCAGTAGGATATTACAGAAATTAACCCATTATGAGATGTAGGACACAGAATATCCTTTATTTTCTAGGTTCACAAACAGGAAACTTCCAGAAATCATGATTAGCTTGCAGAATCAAGGATGTTTTCTACACATTATGAGATACAAGTTGATTCACTCAACGACCATGGTGATTTGCTTAACAACCAAGGCCAGGGGTAGAGAACCTTGGCTCTTTTATGACTCGTGGACTTCAACTCCCAGAATTCCTGAGCCAGCCATGCTAAGGGGAAAGGGAGAAGTTTCCAAGCTGAGCCATGCTGGCTCAGGAATTCTGAGAGTTGAAGTCCACGAGTCATAAAAGAGCCGAGGTTGTCTACCTGACCATGGCAAAAAGGGTTGTAAAATTGGGTGCGACTCACTTAATAACCACCACACTTAGCAATGAAAGTTCCCCTCCCAATTGTGGTCGTGGTCAAGGAATACCTATTATTTAGAGCAGGGGTCTTCAAACTTGGCCCTTTTATGACTTGTGGACTTCAACTCCCAGAATTCCTCAGCCAGTGTGGAATTCAACAATCCCTCACACCATCCAACACTCATCAGCCACAGCCCCAGGGAAGCATGATATGACTTTTGGGAGATAATAAGATTAACCCACCACCATTAGAATACCAAAAAGGCACACTCAGACTCAGGTCAAAGTTCATGCCACAGGAACAACTCCAAACAAAAGCCCAAGAAGGTATAAAAACCCACCACTCCCTATTACATGTGGTCAGCTTTCCCAGAGCCATTTTCTGTCTGGCTCTCCTCTTCAATAAACTACAACCTTCTTTCTAAAGCAGTCTCCATTTTGATTATTCCCGGCTTGGACTGGACCCTGGTGAAGATTTTTCCTTCAACGATATATGGTGTGAAATGGTTTCCGAAACAGGAACCCTGGCATAACTGATCAGATAGAAATGGAATGTGAAAACAGGGATTCCAGAAAGCAGGCAAAGAGATGATCCTCTCCCCGGTCCAGGTTAAAAAATACAAATGTGTCCTGGAGTTGTAGGCTTCCAATTGTTGGGGGTCTTCAAGAAATGATTGGACAGCCATTTGTCCAGCACGCGCTAAGGTTTCCTGCCTGGGGAAGGGGGTTGGATTAGAAGACCTCCAAGGTTCCTTGCTTAAACAGTTTATGCAAGATTGCATAAATGGAGGAAGAGAATCAAGCTCACGTCAAGTATTAGTACCACTTTATAAAACCTCAGTAAGGCCACAGCTGGAATACTGCATCCAGTTTTGGACACCACATTACAAAAAAGATATGGAAACTCTGGTGGTACAGAGAAGAACAACTAAGATGATAAAGGGCCTAGAGACTAAAACATATGAAGAACAGTTGCAGTCTAGTCTAGGGGGGAAAAAAGACTAGGGGTGACATGATAGTAGTATTCCAGTATTTGAAGGGCTGCCACAAAGAAGAGGGTGTCAACTTATTTTCCAAAGCACTAGAAGGCAAAAAACAATGGATGGAAACTAATCAAGGAGAGAAGCAAACTAGAACGAAGGAGAAACTTCCTAATAGTGAGAACAATCAACTAGTGGAACTGCTTGCCTCCAGAAGTTGTGGGTGTTCCATCACTGGAGGTTTTTAAAAAGAGACTGGACAGCCACTTGTCTGGAATGGTATAGGGCAGTGATGGCGAACTTATGGCACGCATGTCAGAGGTGGCACTCAGAACCCTCTCTGTGGGCACATGTGCCGTTGCCCCAGCCTCACTTCCCCCCACGACCCCCTCCTCACCAGCAGCCCCCCTGGAGGAGAGTCGCCCCCGAGCGTGGCCCATGCGGAGCAGCGCAGCCAAGGACATGGCAGCCAGGCAGCATAGACAAGACTCTGCCCTCACACCCCATCGTGCACAGTTGATGCCGCGGGGCGCAGGCAGAAGGCGTGGCCGCCATGGCACTGCTGGGCTGCCTGGGCGATCTGCGGTGGGCCCTGGAGGCGGTGAGTGGCCNTTTTTAATTAAAATGTTTAAAAAGACAAAGTGTGAGAGATGTATGTCTTCGGAATATTATCTGATGGGGAGGGGGAGGGGTCAACCTGACTCACCTCAGCTAGTAAATAAATAATGATACATTTATTGATAGATCTACATCTTGCGTTTCAACCAGGTGATGTACACGATATACCGGGGTACTGTGGGGTCCTTGGTGCCCTCCGAGCTTGGTTATTTTCTTGCAGACGTTTCTTTACCAAACTAGGTAACATCATCAGTGCTAGAAGGGAGTGGGATTTGGTCTCTGTTTATATATAAGTGGTTGGTGGGAGTGTCCTTGGTGGTTCCCTGATTAGGTTGTTGTTTACTGCTCCCTTATTTGTCTTCAGACAACACTGATAGGGCAAATAGCACATAAACAGAGAGCAAACCCCACTCTCGCTAGCCCTGATGGTGTTGCCTAGTCTGGTAATGAAATGTCTGCAAGAAAACAAGCAAGCTCAGAGCACACCAATGACCCCCACAGTTCATCCCTC